CCATACATTATTATCATCAAGCTGGTAGGTTGCTCGATTGTTCTCGAAAGAAGTTTAATCGACACATCCAGATATTCCTTGGTAAAGGGGCTAGGGTTGGTCGGCCCTTTAAACGAGGGAGCAACATGGGTCTTATTGTATTGTTCTTTCCTTTCTTTCCCAGATTTCCAATCTGCATGTTTTTCATATAGCTTCTAGCACTTGTCCTTTGTGTGACCAAGTTTCTTAAAATGTCCACACAAGTGACTATTCTTCTTTAACTCTGACTAATGAGGGGAGTTATGTGTGTATAAGGTGGAGCTTTTAGTGCATGCCACATAATCTTCCTACTATTGTCTCTTTTGACTTTAGCAAAAGCTTCCCTAGTGGTAGGGATAGGCTTCATCTCTATGATTTTTTCCTCCAAGCTCATCTATGTTCTTATTAGACCCAACAAGAACTTGCTCATCCTCTTTTTTCAATTATTGTTTTATATAACATAAAATCTTGAGGAAATTTCCATGAATTAGTATCATACATATCTAATTATAACAAATACTTTATGAGTGTGTTGAAGTATTGAGTCACACTTAACTCTTCTTGTCATAACTCATGTAGTTGTCTCAATCTCAAATAGTTCTATAATGTTTTCAGTACTGGAATAAGTCTCTTTTGTTGCTTGCCAAATCTTCTATGTCGTATTATAAAGCAAGAAATTTTCTCCAATTTCTGCGGTCATAGAATTGATCACCATGTAATCTTGGATCTTTCATGAGTGATGGTTAGGATCAGTGAGCTTAGGAACTGTGCCTTCTCTTGTGAGATGTTTTTCTTTTATTTTGCTATAAATGAACATAAACACGGATTGGGACCAATGAAGGAAGTTATGACCATTGATTTTATGAGTTGTGATAAATTGAGAGAGTTCTGGGGTTATTTGGGCAGAATTCCTGGTCTCTGATTTAGAATTAACTTCCAGTGTAGAGCTAGACCTCTTCGTCCCGTACTTAGTTATAAGCCCTCGTTGTTTGAGGCTGTTGCTGCTACAGAATAGGACCGACCACTGTTCAGAGGAAGAGGAAGGCCGGTTGTTGCTTTTGCAGCCAAAAAAATTTGAGAGGATTCCTATGGAGAAGGGGCAGTGGAGGAGGAAGAAAAACTGTTTGCTGCTGCAGCCAAGGAACTTGGGATGCTGTAGTTTTTTCAGCTCGTGAGGGTGATCTCATGTCCAAGATGCTCTTTGTATTCCGCAGAAGGCTTGAAAGCTCCTCCACCTACAACGAAAGGATGAGCTTCTTCAACTTAGTAACTTTAATGCCAGGAGATTTCTGTGGTGAAGAGGCCTGCGGCTGGATGGATCTTGCGGCACAGGTGGACACAGGAAAGCCTGCAGGGAGGATATGAGGATAAAGAAAATAGAGGAAGGCTGTTAGAGAGAAAGGGAGCAAGGGCCAAAGCCGAAAGGGATCTTAGATGCCTGCAGTGGGACACATGCAAGGAAAAAAAATTATCCCGGTAATGGGAGAGGCTCTAGTGGCTGAAGGGAGTTCTTGGGCTTGTTCCCTATCTCTGATACCATGAAGAAAGGTGGAGAAAATTAATTCTCTTATTTCTTAATGTTCAAATTATAACTCCTTATATAATAAGTAAAGGCTAGGGCAAGCTTATTTCCCACTATTAGAACTTACCGAAGACACATCAACTAACAAAAGGAAAGAAATATGACATAATAGGAAATGAATAAACAAGAATAAATCTAAAATAGAAAAATTAGAATTCCACAACAATATTTATACTCTCTTTCTAATTTATGTTGTAGGAGTTCGTCCATGTAGTTTCAAAATTATGTTTTACTATTTTTTTAGGCATATATTCTTACACAATACTTAAACACTTTTCTATTTACATATATAATATTTGAAACTTGTCATTTGCTCACAGAGAACTAGATTAATCTTGAACACAATAATAACAATAGCAGCAACAACAACAACAAATCTTTATCTCACTAAGTGGGTCATCTATATGAATCTTTTTTCTCCATTTTCTCTTATTGAATGTCATATTTTTATTTAATTCTAATAGATTAAGATCATTTTTTATACAATGTGCCCTAGTCTTTTTAGGTCTAACTCTACCTTTCTTAACATAAGTCAAATCTGAAAAATTTATTTTCCTAACTGGATCATCAAATGGTCGACGTTTAATGTGACCAAACCATCTAAGACGACTCTCTCTAATCTTGTCCGCCACTAGAGCTATACCAATCTTATCATGGATATATTCATTTCACATTTTGTCTTTAAGTGTCAATCCGCTCATCTACCTTAGCATTCTCATCTCAGCAACACTTAATTTTGTTTTATGCTTCTCTTTTAAAGACCAAAATTCTACGCCATTGAGCATTGCAAGTCTCACCACCATCCTATAAAATTTCCCTTTTAAGTCTAAGTGGTGCTTGTCTATCAAACAATAGGCCGATGCAATTCTCCCCTTCAACCAAACCAACTTGATTTCTACTAACAACATTCCTATCCTATCACCATCACTTTGAACAACATACTTGAGATATCTAAATCATTCACAATTTTTAATAATTTGATCACCCAAGTAGCTTAAAAAATTTTACCTTCCTTACCCATAATGCTAGTTTCCCCTCTTCTCCTTCCCCAAGCATAATTTTTTCGCTACTTAATTCTTCTTTTTTGTCGAGTTTAGAAATGCACGCACCATTGTTCCCGTAGATGGCATCCCTAGCAAGATTTTGGCTTGAATTTCTATTATTTTCTTTGCTTTTGAGGGTTTAAGGATTTAATAAGTTGTTTCTCTCATCAATGGTCTTTCCCTAGCAAGATCTTGCCATAAACTTCCCTCTTTTTCATCATCTTTGAGGGTTTTAGGATTGCACATTCTGTCAGTCCAGCTGATCTCTTCACTCAGTGAAATCTCGTTACATCTTTCTCTTCCTTGTCATCGAGGGAATTGTACGTGACATTGTTCTCATTGCTGTCAAACCTTCCTCGTTTCTTCTTTCCTATGAGATTGGGATTAAGAAAGTAGTATATTAAGTAAACGTTACATTTTAAGTATTTATTATGTAAATATGATTTTTTTTAGTGTTATGTGCATATTGCCTTTTACTTTTAATTCTATTTGATGGCCACAAACATGCGCTAGCTTCATTTGTAATATTTTTTAGCATATACATACATACGTGCATAACTTCCTATTTTTTTTTAAAATACTGTATTGCTAACTGAAATCACTCCAGCAATGCTATTTAGATTCAATTGCCTACTAATCTTGTAACTTTTTTAGTTAGTTTCTGATTGGATATTAGTTTATCTACACTTTTCAATAATTCTTCGAATATTCTACCCTTTTCAATAATTTTTACCTGTTTATTATATTAGTTCTTCTAACATTTAGTGTTTGTGCTTCTCATCATTCGTTTGCTCACATTACATGTTCATTTTATTAGGAAGTAAGAACATCACTTTATAATCCCATTTCAATATTTTCGAACGCTATTGCTAATCATTCTAACTCACAAACAAATGAAATTAGATTGCCAGGACGGTTGCATAGGCATGCATTTTAGTGGAATTTTAAAGTATGAGTCCTCATTGTTAATGATTGAAGACATTTTGCTCTGCGGGTTGTGAAGAAATAACATTGTAAATATTCTTATTAAAATCCAGGTAACCAATCTCACACTACAGCCTTGTTTTTTCTTTTTAGTGGGGCCAGGGGGGGTTTGTAGCAATAGAAATACTACATACTTCCTACCCAGAATATACAGTATATGCTGATCGTCAGGTCCGTATTTTTGTGCTACTTTAACAATATTTCATTTTAAATATAACAAATTGAACGTAGAACAAGCTAAGAAACGAAAACATCGTGTCTATGAAGTCTGGTACAGTCCGCTGTATTCATGTATAGATTCCTTGGGGTGATATTGAGTTGAGCTCAAATAAATGAAGCTCTACAAAGCACGGACAAGAACACACATCTGGTGACATGGACATGAGATCATCATGACAGTACAAAACATATTTTAAAATTTTAGGATGCAATTTGTTATGGTCGGAATGTCTTATTTATAATTTTTAAATTGAAATATCTAAATTAATATGTTTTCTACTTCTAAAATTAACTGATGAAGTATAATATCATATGCATATACTTCAATTAAATTTTTTAACAATAAAAAAAAACAAACACAATTAATTATAAAAAAAAATTATCATATGACACGTATCATTTGTTATCAATACTTCAGCATTAGCTTTCATTAATTGTTAGTACTTATTGCATATTTTGCTCGGTATTGATATCTCAAGGACTGGCTGCCTCACACGAGCATTGAGCTGTGTCCAACCTATGCTGAGACGTGTCTTACCTGTGTCGAAACTTAGTTGTCTCGAGGTGTCTTCAACACAATTTTGAGTATGTCAGATGCTTCGGAGATGTTTCTGTTTTTGATCTGGACATGAAGTTATTTGGAAGTCTTCTTGCTTCTTAGGTAGAGCTCAACTCAAAATCGACTTTTGGGTGATGGTGCTATAGGATTGAAATCTTTTTAGCTGAAAATTTAGGCTTAGGCTTGGACTCGGGAATAACTAGAAATTGAAATATTTTTATCAGATATAGAATTTTCTCAAATTTTCTTTAGATTTTGAATGAATTTTTGAAGTTTTAAGAAGCTATCTTTTTATTTTCTTGGACATTTTTTTTAAAAATAATTGTTTAAAATTTAATTAAAGGAAAAAAAAAATTATGAAAGGGCTTAGTTGCACAATTCTTGTTTGATTAGTTCTTATGCTCAAGTTCCCAAGATTTGGATAACTGCGGCATCCTTTTTTGGCTAGCGCTTGCATGTGCTTTGAATGAACATCAACCTGTCTGTTACAGAAGCATCACTGCAGAAATGCATGATTTGCTGTTGCTGGACTCTGTTATTTGCAAAATCTCAATTTTTTTTCACAATTTTAGCCTCAATCTCCTGCTCCTTGCAGCAACTCATTGGTTATAGAACCGGAATTTATGCGTCTGGAGGACCATATTTTTGAAAGAACCGGAGCTTTTTCAATTATTCTGGTAACTGAAGCCCTCAATGTTCACTTCCCTATTTCTTTTGCTTGTCTACCAACATTTTAGCAGTGGATTACTTATATTCGGACAATGGTCTCACGTTTGCGTTGGTATTGTAAATTAAATTTACATCCTTAAGTTTTAGTTTAAGAGTATTTCTTTTTTTTTAATCTTTATTTTTATTTTAAACAAAATCATGTATAAGTAATGGTTAAAATTAGAAAAAAAAAAAGTCTTTTTACCATTTTTCAAATTTTAATTTCTTGAATTGGTTTATGCAACTTGCACAAGGTTTAATTTTTTTGTTATTAGTTAAAAAATATTCTTATTTGTATTGCTAAAGAAACTTGAAATAAAATTAGAAATATTGCTATGCTTCAAACAATCCTTGAGAATTTTAGAAGTTATTTTTTGTAATAACACAGATTGATTTGTGACTCATGAAAATGGGAGTGAACATCAATCATTGATATAGCTTTCATGAACATCATCGTTGGCAGGTTTCAAATGATGGTCATTTTGAAATGTTGTTAGTTAGGTAATGATAGCGATTAGTTTAGTTTTCTTTTGATGAAAACAGGAGATTGAGATAATCATATACGTGCATTTATCACTAACAGATTTCAGACATCTTTAACTATTGTCAAATGAATGAAAACTATTAATAATTCTTTTGATTTGAGGGGAGATCTAGGTAAACCAAAAGGATATGCATTGGATGTCAATCATTGATTATCCTAAAAAATTAGTAGGTATGCATCATGTAGTACTTAATTAGGAACTTCATTGGTTGAATCACTTTAGAATTTCTCCATCGCTGTTCTTATGTAAGGGAATGTTGATCAAATGTCAATTTTTAATGATTGTTAGTTGTTGATAATTGGTGGGCATTATTAGATGATCAATAAAAAAAGATCAGAAGTCAAGTGATGATTGTGATTAGCTTGTTCATTCTCTTAATTAAGGTGATATTAAGCAACTAATAAGATGAGCATTAAATGTTGCACATCTATTTTTAACGAGTGTTTGATAGTGGTTGATTGAGAATTTTAGATGATAAAAGATATGGCAGTTGGTTGATCTCTTACACTTTCCATTGATAAGAGAGGGTTTGATTATTCTCTTAATAGAAGAGATTAGGTAACAATAAAAGAATGTGGTGTGGCTATGACTTGGTTGATCTCTTACACTTTCCATTGATAAGCGAGGGTTTGATTATTCTCTTAATAGAAGAGATTAGGTAACAATAAAAGAATGTGGTGTGGCTATGGCTATGGCTATTACTATGGGACATCCAATGGCAGATGGCTAGACATAATGTTGGTGAACAATCAGATAATGCTCTAAAATTCTCAAAAATGCATTTAGAAAATAATTGCGTTATTATTTATTATTTTTAGCATCAGATAAAAAATTGGCTAAATAGAAATCAATTGACTCCTAAGCATCTATCTATAACGAAGGCTTTTTTTATATATAATGATTTAAATTTGTAATTGTATAGCAGAATATGTCATTCTGAATCCTTCAGATGGACGGCCTGGAGTCGGGATGCCCGAAGCCTATACGACCAGCGGCCCGAATGACTTGAAGGCAATTAAGATTAGCTGACCGAGGTAGAAAGCAAATAAACAACAAGTCCGTACATGTAAAGTATCAAAAATACTTCTATAACGCTCTCATTAAAGCAAAAACAAATATAGAACTTCAGGTATTGTATCGTCTCCCCTATAAATATAGGATTATTTTATAAAATTGGTATTGTTCATTATTATTCATTTCTCTCTCTCTCTATTTCTCTTTCTGTCTCTCTCTCATGTCTTACGTTTTATTCATTAGGTGTGATTAGAATTCAACAATAATAAAAATGAGGAAGATTTACATACATACCATATATACCACGTAATTTTTATGTATTTACATATCTAACATCTAAACTTTGTAAGTTTTATGTATTTACATATCTAACATCTAAACTTAAAGTATTACATGCATGCCACCTTTCTTATGCATGAAAAGTTGTATTTCACTTTTTAAAAATTAAACTGTTGGTTTTTTTTTTATGTGATATGAAACATTGGGGTTGTATATGATGCAAATTGAGACAGAGAACAAAGATAGAGAAAGAAATTACTTTATTAAATGAAAACACACACCCACCAATGTACATACTCAGTCCTATTTATAGATACAAGTTGACAAGACTATATGGTAAGCCAAAACAAGGTAAAGACAAGCTGGACCGAACTGATACAGGTACAGTTGGACCAAATAGAAAATAATAGAGATATATTAACATCCCCCTTCAAATTGATGATTTTTGTCGAATATGATCAATTTGTTACGAAGAAACTTGAACTTAAAATCAGGAAGAGAATTAGTTAAGAGGCCGACAATTTAATTAGTGGTATTGATACGATGAACCATGAGAACTTTGTTGTTAGTGTATTCTCTTATATAGTGTTAATCAATCCCTATGTGGCAAGCGCTGTAGCAGAGGTATTGTCACAAAAGAGAGGAGTAAGAGCGGTAAGAGTAATTTGAAAATCTTGGAGTGAACATCGTAGACATACTATTCAATCACCGTTGTAGCAAGAGCTCGATATTCAGCTTCGGTAGAGGAAAGAGCTATGGTGGCTTACCTTTTACTTTTCTAAGAAATAGGTGTAGACCCAAGAAAAATACATATACCAGTAGTCGATTTGTGATTAGTAGGATTTACAACCCAATCAACATCTGCAAAAGCAATGAGTTGAAAGGATCCTTGAATAGTTGGTAATTTGAGGTGAAGAGTGCCTTGTAAGTATCTAAGGATACACTTTAACTGTTGAAAGTTGTTTTGAGTTGGTTGATGCATAGTTTGATTGGAATGGTTGGCCACATAAGCTATATCTGGACGCGTGAGTATTAAATATTGTAAAGAACCAGTTAGTTTACAAAAAAAAATGAAGGGTCATTAAATAAAGTATGATCAGAGTGATGAGAAGGCTTCCTGGTGTTTGTTGGATTTTGCACAAGTTTAGAACTGTCCATGTCAGAAGTGTGAAGAATATGTTGAGTATAGGTAGCTTAATTTAGGTGGAGATTGTAGAAAGTATGAGTTGCTTGTATGCTGAGAAATTTGGAGGTGGTGCCCAATGTCTTAATTTTAAATTTAATGTGTAAGCTTTGAAGGATAGCATCAATGGTGTGAAAGTCATTGCCAGTTATTAAGATATCATCGACATAGATCAAAATATAAATATGGGTATTGTTGGAGTAGTAGTCATAGAGAGACGAGTCGGCAGAACTAACATGGAAATGCAGAGATTGAAGATATGTAGTGAGAGTGTGATGCCATTGAGATGCTAGCTTAAGTCTGTAGATAGCCTTCTTGAGTTTACATACATAATTGGGTTGAAGATGATCAAGAAACCCTTGAGGTTGTTGCATGTAGATAGTCTCATGTAAAGCACCATGAAGAAAGGCGTTGGAAACATCGAGAAGAAGAATTTGTTGTTTGTAAGTAATGACAATTGTAAGAAAGACGTGAATTGTAGTAATTTTGGCTTCCGAACTGAATGTTTTAACATAGACTTTGTCTTCTTGTTGTTTGAACCACCGAGCCACGAGCCGAGCCTTGTACCGGGCACTTGTCCCATCTGAATTAAGTTTAGTTTTAAAAGTCCATCTGCAACCAAGAACGTTATATTGGGAGGTGGATGGTACTAATTCCCCCGTCCCTTGATCATGAAGAACTTGAAATTCAGACGACAACTTTTCTCCAATGTTCATGCTTAGTTGTCATAGCGTAGGTTGTAGGATCATTAGTAGCTTGATGAATAAGATTGAGAATTTTGCATGATTTTAAACTACAAGTTTTAGTTCTAGTGAGCATAGATTGGAAGGGAGGAGACGGTAAGGGAGCAATAGGAGGGACTTCGATATAGGTGGGAATATTTGCATGGGCCGAAACAAAAGGAAGAGGAGGTTGAGTAGTTACGGTGTGTAACTAGGAGAGTTGTGCGAATAAGAAGCAGTTCGATTGGAATGACTATGGGTGGGCTGATTTGATAGAATAGTTGTGGTAGGGACTAAGAGGAGTGGAGGTATAGTTTAGGGAGATTATGATTTGATTCAGAGAGTGTTTGACATTGATAGGGAAATACACATTCATTGAATATGCCATGATGAGAGACATATTTTATTGGTAGAGGTGGCACAGTCTAGAAAAATACATTCTTTAGAGAAGTGTTGAAGTTTATTGTTGAGATAGGGCTTGGGCCACGAAAAGCATTGCCAACCATATATTTTGAAGTGTTGGAAGCTTGGCTGTTTGTTAAATAAAATTTCATAGGGTGATTTATATTCAAGTCTTTTGTTCGATAAACGATTAATAAGGTAGCAGTCGGTAAGAAGGGTATTGGTCCAGAGATGAGTAGGTAAATGTTTGTCATGTAATAGAGTACGAACTGTTTTCGTAAGGTGTCTATGTTTCCGTTTAGCGACACCATTTTGTTGAAGAGTATAAGGACATGTACAATGTTGAATGCCAAATTGAGGTAGTTAGTAAAGCTTAAGTTGCAGTACTCACCTTCACTGTTAGTTCGAAAAATTTTATAAAAGAGCTGAGCTGATTTTTAACAAGGTTCTTAAATTCTTGAAATTTAGTAAAGGTGTCATTTCTTTGTTTAAGCAGGTAAATACAAGTAAAGCGAGAGAAGACATCAACAAAACTGATGTAATATTTATAATTTTGATAAGTGGTGGAGGGAGACGAACCCCGAACATTAGAATGAATAATTTGTAAAGGAGTCGTAGCCCTGTTACAAGATTGTATAAAGGGTAGTTTCCTAATTTTTGATAAATTACATGAGGTACATGAAAATTTGGGGCTAACATGTTGTAAACTAGAAGCTAATACTTGCTGAATGTGATTGTTAGGATGTCCAAGTCTTCTGTGCCAAAGAACAGGTACAAATAAACAGATACAAGAGGTAGTTTAGATGGAATGTTGGACTCATGTAGAGGAAGGTGTAAGTGGATACAACCCTTGAATGCAGGGTCCTTCAAGGAGAATTTTTTTGGTCTGCACATGCTTAAGGAAACAACCGTTAGCAGTAAAATTTTTGAGAAGTTAACTTATGAATAGAGAGGAGATTGTAAGCTATATTAGGTACATGAAATATTGGAAAGTAAGAGCTTACAAGTAGGTGTAGAAAGTATTCCTTGATTGATATGAGTGATAAGAAACTGTTGGCCATTTCCAACAGATATAGAGTTGTGGACGTTGTGAAGTTGATTTGAGTTGGCGGTAAGATGTTGAGTAGCACCGCTGTCGAAGATCCATTGCTGATCTAAGTTGGATGAGGCATCTGAAATAATAGCAGTAGTGGGTTGATAAGTGTGATCATGTTGATGCTAACATCTAAATGCAGAGTGCCTAACTTTATTACATATTTGGCAAGTGATAGTGTTCTTACGACTATTCGAAACTTGTTGAAAGCTTTGATGACTTTGCTTTGGAAGAACTGAACTGATTCTTGGAGGAACCTAGAGGTTGCTATTTCGGTTGGAAGAAGTACTGAATTGAGTCTTGTTCTTGTTATGACAAGGCGCAACCAAGGCAATTTTTTGATGCGGATGAGTTCTTTGAGAGCGCTTTGAATTAGAGTAAGTTCTTCATTGCATAGCAAGATGTAAAGATCATCCAAGCTAATGGGTTGGAGATGAGTTTGAATGGAGGTCTTAAAGGCATGATAAGTGGATGGTAAATCATTGATGGTATAAAGTATTTTAACACCGACATCAAGAATTACTCCAACCGTAGCAAGAACATCAACTTTTTATTTGTTGTCGGAGAGGTATTGAGTTATGGTTTCATAACCTTTGGAAATATGGTGAAACTCGTTTTTAAGTTGAAAAATGCAAGATCTATTGGACGACTGAAGGCATCGTTCAATGGTATTCGAAGATGGGGAAGGATGGAAGGTTAGACGATGGAGTAAATGGCAGCAAAGAGATTTGGATTCATGAAGATCCATTTGCTGAAATCACGATTAGTTGTGTTGTTTCCTGAAATATTTTGGATGAATTTATCAGGGCAGCAATACGAACCATCAAGAAAGCCATCATACCCGTGGGCATGAAATAGTTTCAGCACTTGAGCCTTCCAAATGGTATGATTGTCGGCATTAAATCCACAAAGACGATGTTTTTGATATTGCCCAATAGAAATTTCAGTTGAGTAAAAATTGGGCGATCAGTGGGAGGGGAGGTGGTTGATTTGGTGGTCATGTCAATGTGAATGGAGGTAGAGTAGGAACTCACCGGAAAGGCGAAAGAAGAAGGTAGGAAGAATAAAACCAAAAAACGAATTGAGGAAGATGATCAACTTTTAAAAAATGAAAACACCTGTTCACATAAAAGTAAGGTACAAATTTTATGTTGATTTTGATTTACTTTATTACAAGTAAAAGTGTTCAAGTTAAAATTAAAATTAAGACCTGTAATTCCTCTTAAATGAGATTGGAGTATATTTTTTTGTAGAAAAAAAATCTTTCGGTTCAATAATTATATACTCTATCTAGTACCGTGGTTGAAGTGTTCCCAGTGTTCATAAATGCTTCTTAAAGCCTAATTTGATTGCCAAAATATTCCTTTAAAGTGCTTATTTTATTCTCATTTACTTTAAGTGTATGAAGGTACTAATTATTATTGATAAGATTTTTTAATTATTATAATTCTATTCCTATCTAATTAAATGAAAAATTAACAAATCTATAATTTTTAAACAAGGGCAACTGTAACTTATCAGTTTTTTAGCTGCAGCTATGTTGACTCAAAAAGTTGCTGCGAGAAAGCTGCAGAATGAAAGTTGGTTGTTTGTTTCACAGCTGTTTCTGGAGAAATTATCATTCTGTCACTACTGTATAATGATAATTAATTGCAACAATTTGTTTAAAGGCTCTTTTGAGAAGATGATGATTATGCAAGCGCCTCTAAAATTGTGCCTCAAGAACAAGAAAAATAGACATTGAAGGCGGCCTTCTCCTTTTCAACAAAGGAGCTTTTGAAGAAATTAAAAGCCACCATAATTATCATATTTTGCTTATTTCGTGCGTATATAACATAAAGCACACTAATAATAATATTATTAAATAAAAAAATTTTACAACTTAAGGCGATCACAATTACTCTCATTCTGTTCCCTGAACGCCACGATCACCCTGCACTTAACGACACTGCAAGTCGCGCCGTGAACGTAGAACCCCGGGGCCACCATCATAATCACCTCCCCCGTCCCTGGTTTAACCCCGGTCGATTCCTCCATGTAAACCGGATCAAACCGAGCCCCCCGGTCCACCCGCAAAATTGGCATACCCGGGTGCACCGACCGAGCCAGCAGAAACACAGCCCAAACACCCCGGGCCGCCCCAAAAAAAGCCTGCAGAAGCCCTTCCGGCCATGCTCGAGCCCAGCCCAGCATCCCCACCACCTCGCTCATCCGCCGGTCGCAGAACCTGCTTAACCCCTCACTGAAATACCTCGTTCCCTTGCTCAATACATCCTCCCAACCCAGGCCCCGGATAGCCTCATAAGCCGCCCGGTTCGCCTTGCACCGGTCCGCGGGGTCGGCCAGCATCCCCTCGCCCTCTCCCGCCCGCTCGAAATCGGAATAAAAAACCCGGTTCAGAACCGACTCCAACCCGATGATCAAGCTCCCGGGGTTCTTTTTAACCAAACCGTTGGATCGGAGAATAGACCCGAGCCGGTCCATGGACCGCGGCGCAGCCCGGAGCTGTGCTATCAGATACCGGCTCAACTGCCGCACGGCGGTCCGAGCGTCGTTTACGGCGAGAATGAACGGCTCGACGGCGGTTTCGTTTGGGCCGGCGATGCAGCGATCGAGGGAGGTTTGTAAGTCGCGGCAGCGAGACTCCAGCTGGTTCAGCTTGCGCTCGAGCTTGGAGACGGAATATTTGAGCCGGGAGGCTTCAAGGATTGCTTCGTCGCGCTTGCGGGTGACGTGGAGGAGTTTCCGGGAGAGCTCCGCAGCTGTGAGCTTCCATTCGGCGTTTTCTTGGGCGTCTGAGGAGGAGCATGGGGTGGATGCTATGTGGAGAGGGGTTTTGGGTGCGAGCGCGCGGAAGAGGGATCGGAGGAGAGCGTTGGGCGTGGAACCGGAAACAGAGGAGGGGCGTTTTGGGCCGTTGATGTCGAGGGGGACGACGGTGATTTTGTCGCGAGAGGAAGGACGGCACTTGCTGCAGGAAACCGAGAGGTCTTCGCTGCGGGAGGATTTGGCGGAAGGGTGGAGAGGTGTGGGTTGGTGATGATATGTGGCAGCCGTGCTCTTTTCGGGTTCTGGTTCGGGCTCGTCGTGTTCTGTTTCTTCCTCCTGAATCTGCAACAAGGTTGTTGATTAGTTCAGTTTAATTGATTGTGAGAAAGAGATGAGGAAGAGGACTTACGGGAGCGAAGGGGGGAGGGGAAGGAGAAAGGCGAGAGGAAGAGGAGGGAAGAACGGCCATGGCTATAAATTATCACCAGCTGTTTCTTGAATGCTGGAGTTCTGAGGTGAATGAGAGCTGGAAGAACGATGGGAGGAAGCTTGATTGGTTTCGGGCACTGGGTTCACTTTTGAAGAAAGAAGGTTACTGTGACCTGTAACGGTTTATTAGCCCGCATTTATTAGGGGTTTGACATTGAGGTTTCAGCTAGTGGGAGTGTGGAGATGGCACAAAATGGCCTGTGGCGAGACTGAGTTCCGTGGGGGTGAAATAAATTTGGATGGGTAGTTGGGATCGGTAGGTGGTTTTAAATGCATCAGTTATTTCTCGAAAGGTTTGTGTAAAATAATCGGAGGCATTTAGATGCATATCAATCAATATATCACTCAATTTTTGTGCATTTGTATATCTATTATGTCAACTTCACTCTTCACATATATATAGTTAAATCTTTCGTATCACATCAAGTAATATTTTTGTTTTTACTTTGAAAGTATGGAATAAAATTTTTCATGCATATATATATATCAAAAAGATATATATTGTACTAGAAAAGAATACGATAGAGATAGATCCACTACAAAAAGATCGCGAGACTCATTTGACCAAATGAGTCAACCAATACAAGGCAAGTCAACTTGGCCAAAATCGACGGAGCCAAAAGGTAGACAAGAAGATGACCAGATTAGCCAAGCATAAGCCATCCAACTGGAGACGAGAGAAGTGAGAGCTTGAGCCATTCAATGCAAGAAAAATGATTGGACATGATAGCTTATACTGTAGAGGAGCTGACTCAATAGAGAAGTCAGTCTACAAAGTATCTCCCACCCTCACATGGAGACCAGAAAAATCCTCATCAGAGATCAAGGAGTTAAACAAGCTAGATAAGCCAGACAATCGAGCCCAATTTGCCGAACTCAACAGATTGAGCTGACCTCGTCGATCCAAATCTAAGCTTTATATATATATATATATATATATATGTATGATCCTAAATTGTCCTTTGTGAACAGACCCAGAGAATTTAAGGTTGAGTGAAGAAAGATATAGAGGAGTATATTAAGAAGAGTTTCCTGTAGAGAGAATTGGTCAAATATCGTTTTGTTCGTATTTTTGCCTCCTATTTATAGAGACGTATTTTATATAAGTACAGAAAGAAGGGAGAAACCACTCTTAATACAATTGATGTTCTAATTAATCTGATGAATTTCTTACTATATAGATATTATAATTTAAATTTTTATATGACGATAATTTGGTCAGTCGACTTACTTGAATTCGGCCGACTAAAGCTACCGTGCCACGGGTTGTTGTTCGAAGTGCCCGGTTGAGTGTCGATCACGTCCATTGCGATAAACACAGGTCAACCGATTAGCCTCGATCAAGGATTCCCGCCTACGCCCTGGTAGGATGGGATTGTCGGCAAGGTCTTATGTTCAAATTTCTCACTATAGTGTGTCGGTCGATTCTTGACCTCGCAGCTGGCAAAAGGACGTTTTGTCTGGTCGTCGTCTGGGCCATTTGAATGCTTTGAGATTCGTACGGTTATGATGTATACAATATATGTGTGTGTTTATAAGTGCGCACATATAAATATATAGAAATTGAGTTTCATGTATGTAAATTTTCCAATAAATTTTGAAATAAATCGATGAAGGAATTTATTTAAGGACTTATTGTTTGAAATTTGATGAATGGAATAGATTCATTTTTGGTAGGACTCGTAGAAGTTTTATTTTAGATGAGCAAAAATAACTATTCATTGGAATTCTCCATGGAATGACATTTGCCAAGCTGATTAGCTTTCGGAAATTGAATAAAGCTCCAAGTTGTTTTAGTGATTGGTTGATGACAAAATGATTGTTTTACTTAAATTCAGAACACTTGTCTTTTATCTCGAGCAGCAATTAATTAACTGCGAAGTTTGTTGCGACTCAAACTTTAAAAGTTTTGGGGCATTTACATGCATACCAATTACAACACAATTTTTATATATTCACATATTTAACATATAAACTTTGATATTTACATGCATATCACTCAAATCCTTAACAGCACATAAAAAATGTCAATATTCCTAACTTTTTAAAAAATGAAAGACTCCTTTTCCTGCATAGATTTACAATACCAAAGTATCATAAATATAAATATCAAATTTTTGGTGTTAGATGTATAAATACATAAGAATTGAGTGGTAAGTACATAAATTCCAAATTTTAATTTGATCTAACATATTTTACTTGCAAAAAATTCTCATGAGCTCGTTATGATGCAAAACCTTTTTTAAAAGAATCATCCCATGGTGGAGAAAATGTTACATTAGTTATATGTAAATAAAGACAACAGATTAGATTCGTAGAGACCACCGTGTATTTCAATTTTTGTAAATCCAATCTATCATCCGTACATACATATAATATAGGTATTTTTTCTCCCCATCGTAATTAATCATCCTGCTCCAAAAACATAAGTGCTCGATCAGCCCCAATTGCTATCATGACCTCTCAAATGTAAGTTTTTTGTCATCTTAATTTTGTGTTACTCGTTGAGGTGAAGTGTAGAGCCTGGCAGAGCAGCCACGACTGCAAGGTAGCACACCAATGAATAGAAAGATTTTAGGCATGGTGCACCCATATCTGGGTGGTGTGCCCACATCTGCATACAGAGGGTGATATGGGTGTTCCCGTGCCGAGGTCTGCAACACCCCCATGCCATCTTTTGGACGCCTATGTGCCTGATTAGAGAGAGTGTGACATTGCCCAGCCAAGGAGTGGCATGAGTATGCTGTGTGTGGTTCCTCTTCCAATGCTATTTAAATTTATGATTTCAAGCGAACAAAGTATACTCTCTTGCATGTGGTTCTCTCGACATGTTTTCTGTGAAGAAGAAAAGGGTTAGAGAGGAGAATTTCAACTTGATTTTCTCTCTTGAGTTTGATTTATTTTTTTATACTCACACATGGATTATCTTTTACGTTGCAGAGGTCCTTCGTCTAGCTCCCAAAGCATCGCCGACAGATATCTTGAATCTTTGAGATTTGGGGCAGGCTTTAGCCATCCAACAAAGCACTACAGAAGGATGGCAAGATTTTTTTAGATATTTAAAAATTAATTCAATATTTGAATGATCAAATTTTTTAGCGTTAACCATTTTTGTACGTTGCACTGGTCAATGAGTTGAGTCATGCTCCCTCCATCATGCAACTTCATGTTTGAACCCATCAGCACCCAAGGATTGTGTAGTGGGTCTCAGAGCATTCTTGATGAGTTGTTGTAAGTTAAAAACCTTGAATTAAAAGTTTATTTTAACTCTAAATGATAAAAATGTCAATTAAACCCTAGTTTTCATTGTACATGAGGAGTTAGAGCAGCTCCAGAAGAGGCACTTGGCCTCTCAAACCCAGCCGTCCACCAGCAGTAGTCGTAGTCAGTCTACCATTGCGCGCTCTGAGTACGAGCATTGGACCCAGGCGACAGGGAGGAATAGGTGGAGGGTTTATGGTCTTGGAGCGATGGGCATGGCCTTCGAGGTTGAGCTCTCCCGTGGTCTCATTCTTAGTTCCTCAAGCTCCTCACAGCCATACCAAGAGGCTCATGCCAAGCAGGTTGGTGCAGTGAGTGAAGATATCCACTAGTTACGGGAGCAGATGCTAGAATGTCAAAATCTAGTCTAGAATTCTATAGCGCGCATGGAGGATACCTTGGCAGATAGTTGGTGCAGAGAGCCGATGACATCCATTCAGGAGGAGGAGGGGGAGAAGGAGAATGGATATGATGAGTAGTTTTTGTTAATTATTTTTTTTATTTGTAAGTGTTATGTTGAACATTTAATGTGGAAGTTTTTAGATTAACTTTACTATTTTTATTTGAGACGATTTGTGATAGTATTTTCCTTTTATTAATCATAATGTTTAGAGTTTGATCTATGATATGGATATGCTTAATGTGGAAAGTGTTTTTGTGCGGGTTGTGAAAATGCAAACATTATTCTAAATTCATTTTTTGTGTTACAGGTTTGCATCAAATTTGTGTTCATTTTCGGATGCAACATCCAACACTACATCGGCAATTAGATTGTCCTGCGATATTTTTCGACGTAAATTAGATGGAAATCCGATACCAATATTTATCTTCTGATATTTTCATACGCAAATTTTGATGTATGTTTCGTATAAACAAATTCGACGCAACAACTACGCAAAAATCAATGCATATTATTTATGTCAGAATTATTCGAAATAAATTGGACGAAAATAACATTATCGATCCCTAAATTAACGTGAGAGATAGTCCGACGTAAATAAGACGCAAATCTGACAATATCCCTTAAATATCGTCAGATTTACATCTGATTTACATCGAATTTATCTGATGCAAATATGCTTAATTTATGCAATGTCAAATGACGAGCAATGAAGGCCTTGATAGGCCAAATTTATAATGTAAGGATTTTTTTTTTTTTGGTGAGCATCAATTTGCTAAAATTTGGAGCAAGATTTACAAACATAACACTCAATTCCTATGTATTACATACCTAACCTCTAAACTTTAATTTTTTTCACATATGTCATCTTACCTATGCATGAAGATATGTATTTCTCTTTTTAAAAGTTAAAATAGTGATGTTATAATGTGTTTAGATGATATAAACATAAAAACAAAGTCTAGATATTAGATGTGCAAATACATAGAAATTGTTTGGTATGTATGTAAATGGTTTATGAGGCATTTTCTATCTATTTAGGAGGCTCAATTAAGAGACGTTATTCTGTGGCTCTTTATACTTTTTGAAGTGGCATGGTTTTTATACTATGAGAATTCATTCATTATGTTTTTCTTTTGTGAGCAATGAGGAAAGCCCGTTTTATTAAATAGAACTCAAATAGCTATCATTCTCCTCTTTATGACAAATGCCGTAAGGATCAATGTTCATTTGTGCTTTTTTATCGTTTTTTTGTTGATTATCTTGGTTACCCATCTCTTAACTTGAATTTCAACTTGCCTCATTGTATTGCCATCTTTTAGCGGTTGCTACTTCTATCTCTAGCTATATGTTACCATCTTTTGCTACTACAACTCTTTTAAGGTATAGATTTTTTTCTAGCCTTTGGTTTTAGATTAAAACCTTTTTTTAGTATTAAGGAAATGAGAAAATAAAATGATATTGAAGTGTTGAAGGAATTGAAACAATTTTTTTTTACTTTATATATATATATATATATATATAGAGAGAGAGAGAGAGAGAGAGAGAGAGAGAGAGAGA